AGCGTTATCATCAGTCTGTAATATTTTTGAACATACCAGTAGTATTAGTCACTATCTTAACACAGAAGGTCTATCATCTTTATAGTTAAATTTTAAAAACTGGAGAAAAAAACTGGAATCCCTGCTGGAATCCCTGCGTTGTCTTTAAATTTGTTTCACTTTTTAGTTTAGCTTGACTTTGTTGCTGCTGATTTTAAAAGCACCTATCACCCCGAATATCTCATTGTGCCTGATAACTGTCTTGCTGTGATATGCTTTTTGAGTTTTTTTTCATCTGTCCCCACACCTTCCTGTAATTTCTGGGGAAGACACGTGTGTGGTGGGCCTCAGAAGTTTGATGGCTGTTTTCACATGCATTCTTCTCCATTGCTAGGAAGCATATTTTGACGATGCTCTTGTATCCTGCAGCGAGGTGGCCCCATGGACCTTTGCTGAGAGACCCTGTAAAACATAGATAATTGGTTAATATAAAACCATCTTGTGAGGAGCAATTTTGGGAGGAGAGGGGTTGAAAATTGTGGTTTTGATTGTTCTGAAATAATTTCTGAATTCTACCAATATTTGGCAGGTTTCTCCAGAGGCTTTTGAGGAAGGCTAGATTGTTGCAAAACTGCAAAGAGAATGGATTTGCAGCACTATTTACAGCAACACAAGTTTATGATGCATATCTACCTGTGGTGACCTGGCTTACTTTCTCTGACTGAAGGGATTTGAACTCCTTTTTTACTAGGCCTTCAAATAACTTTTGATAGGAAATCTCCATTTCTCCCATTAGAGATGCTTGATTTCATATTAGTATATATGTATATACATTAGAGACCGCCTAAATCAGTTCCACATTTCCACAATGGTGCCAGGGCAGAGAGCACCATTCTTTTTTTGGTGCAATAGCTATTTTATTTTATAAGAAGCTGGAGCATGAGAGAACTGAACTTGAAAACTCCTAACAGGCTTGAGGCTAGGATACCCGCTTTCACGTCAGCTGCTCACGTGCTTTGTGTCACGGACTTCAAATAATCAGTTTTCATGATTTGTATGTGTATCAGTCACTTCCTTCATAGTTTATGACTTTCTAAGCCTCTTATGTGAGGAGGAAAAACCTCTCAAATGACCAGAACTAATTAAGAGCCACTGTTTCTTTTCTGCCTTTTTTTTTCCTCTGCATATTGCGCATTTGGATAAAAGGAAATCCTCACAAAGCTTGATGACAGTATTACTTGATTTTAAATGCTGGAGATCAGTAAGGTAGGAGTAGGACTTGTATTAAACATACATTTACTCTAAGGAGTTAAAAGCAGATCTGACAGTATTCTTGTATGAATTAAACCATTAACACTGCAGTTGTTAACGTTTTTCTTTATAATTTTTGTAAGAACAAGCCCTAATAGGATCATAATTTATATAACACAACTCATATGTTTGAAATTAAAACATGGTCCTTAATCTTGCTGTTTTTTCATGGTAAATGCTATTTAATGGTAAGTAATGGTAAATGCTACCATGATTGAAGTATATTTTATTTTGGCAGGCCTAAATTATTTCAGAAATCTGAATACTAATTTTCATGTGAAGCTTCTGAAAAGACAGTTGCAAGCAGAAGTCACTTATCTGGGCGTGCAATTCTGTCATGGGAAAAGGGAATGGAAATTGCTTGCGCTGATCCAGTCCTTGTACTTCCATTCCAAAGCTGTCAGTTCTAAATCGGCTTTGTTTTGCCTTGCAAAATCACAGCCACCTTTTAGCATGTTATGAAGAAGAACATTTCTTAACATTATGTATTGTATTTACTGATTCAATAATTTGAGGTGGTATTGACTATAAAAAACCCAAAACAAACAAACAAAACCCCCAAAAATAACCCCGAGGGAGCCTGGCATTGAGATATGCATATAGTTTAGTGATAAATACTGCATTAAAATTTGTGGACAAATAACTAAAACCTGAAAATCGATTAGGAAATTATTATAAAGAATAAATACATAAAGCAATAGAAAACAAAGACAAAAGCAGTTTTTAAAATACTGCAAACTGCTAGTTAGCACTGAGAGTAAAGCTGCTCAGGGACTTCCTCTGTAGTCAGTGGAGTACACCCAAACCCCAGGGTAGCTGTTATCTGTATTTAAGGATTTAGGTCTTTTGTTTAATCTTTTCATGGAAACCAAAGTCCAGTTAAACATGTTGTTGGGATAGAGCTGATGTTAAAGATCAGGAAGCTGGGAAGCACCTGTGTGTCCTGTAGTTTCATCATAGCCAAATAAAGATTAGTCAACAAGAAATTCTGCCTGTTTTGTCCATAAAAGGAGCTTTCAGATTGGGGAAAAATCACCGCGGATGCTTGCGATGCAGGTGTTGCTGCAGGGAAGCATCCTGCAGAGGCTCACTTAATGAAGTCCTGCTTAATTCACAGAATTTAGCATTGCAGAGTTATAGTTAGCCCTGGGTAGTGTGAGAGGGGGCTGAGTCAAATTTCAGTCTTATTCTTTGTTCTGGTGCCAGTGGCCGTTTGACCCTGAGAAATTTTAGGCCTTAATTGCTTTCTCCATTTTTGCTCTGATAAAATGGTGCTTCTCTAGCCATCACAGGGAAGTCTCAAACGAAAAGCAGTTCAGTTCACTTAACTAGTAAAATCTATTCTGTGGCTCCATCTAGTAACATTAATCACTTACTGAGCATTAAATTAAAGTAAAAGCTGTGGAAAACTCCTTTCATGTGAAAGGAATGCATTGGAGGTGACCTGTTGACCTGAAATGCTGCTTAAAAGCTTTAAAAAGCAATATAAAATTTGTAAAAGATAGCGTGAATGATGTTGCTTTAGAAACAAGTTACTGATAAACATTCCTGTTTGATAAAGCTGGACCCGGGGGTTAAAGTTCTTTTGTGACTATTACTTAGAGGACTGGTAATTGTCTGGTTAATGATATTATTTCGCTCATTCGAGTGAGAGGTAGATCGTTGAATATCAAGTAGTGGGACTGAAGCTGAACAGAGTTTGCCCTGACTCCCTGCAAGCTGCAGAATGCGCTTCAGATTCACTAAATAGAAGTCTTTTCATGTTTAAATATAAAGAAAGGAAGCAAGGTTGTAATTAAACCCATCAGTTTTGCAGGGTGGGGGGTAGATGCGTTAGAGAAAACTCACTTCTGCATATTTCTACATTATGGCATACTCTGTTTTTTTTGTGAGGCACCAGTCTCATCAGTGTAGCACCTACTTCTCTTCTCCAACTACGTGGCTGTGCATTTGGAAAGCTACCAGCCAGAGTGGTAGGGGTCCCTGGGGAATGAGCACAGAGGGCTTCATCTAAAGTCCTCTCAGCTATAAGGTGGAAACCGTGATCGGCAGAACGCCCACCTTAAATTTCACCAGGTCTGAAAACTAAATAACTTTTTCCTGCTCATGCAACCGCAGCGTTAACGAAGTTTCTGCAGTCAGGGTAGGCAACCCAACTGTGGTTTGCCCAAGGGCACACGTTGAGTGAGTGCTTTCTCACATCCCACCATTGCTGATGCTGGTCGCTTTGCGCTGCTGGGGGCCAGCTGGGTGACAACACCCCATTTATCTTGACACATTTTTAACCACAGTGTCAACTAGTATTTGTGGGAGCCAAAAAAGATGTATTGGATTCGCTGCATGTTGCTACTTGGTCTCTATAAGTAGGTGTTTCTACACAAAGAATAGCCTCTTCCTAACTTGTGCTGGTTTTGGCTGGAATAGAGTTTCGGAATTTTCTTCATAGTAGCTGGTATGGGGCTGTGTTTTGGATTTGTGCTGGAAGCAGTGTTGATAACACAGGGACGTTTTAGCTATTGCTGAGCAGTGCTCACACAGAGTCAAGGCCTTTTCTGCTCCTCACCCCACCCCACCAGCGAGCAGGCTGGGGGTGCACAAGAAGCTGGGAGGGGACACGGCTGGGACAGCTGACCCCAACTGACCAAAGGGATATTCCGTACCATGTGACGTCATGCTCAGCATATAAAGCTGGGGGAAGAAGGAAGGGGGGGACGTTCAGAGTGATGGCCTTTGTCTTCCCAAGCAACTGTTACGCATGATGGAGCCCTGCTTTCCTGGAGATGGCTGAACACCTGCCTGCCGATGGGAAGTAGGAATGGATTCCTTGTTTTGCTTTGCTTGTGTGTGTGGCTTTTGCTTTACCTATTAAACTGTCTTTGTCTCAGCCCACGAGTTTTCTCACTTTTACCTCATCCCACCTGGGGGTAGTGAGTGAGCGGCTGCGTGGGGCTTAGTTGCTGGCTGGGGTTAAACCACAACATAACTGTAGTTCATCTAAATGATGGAAAGCAGCAGTAGGTTTCATGAATTCCTGCACGGTAAAGTTTTGCATGGCAATTGGCTGATTGAAGAGGTGGTTGTCAGTAAATGCGGGACACCTCATACTCCCTGTTTTCTGCTCTTTCCTGCTTTGCTCCCAACTGCCGTGGCGTTGCTGCCCTGTCTTTTCTTAATGCCTGTTCTGGCTTTGCTTGTGATTCTCTGCAGAGCTGGCTTAAGTCTGGTTTTGCTTTTTCTGTTAACTTAATGCTGGTTTAGCGCATTGAATTGACTTATGCAGAGGTTGACTGATTATCATGGCTGGCAAGTAGAAGAGGAGGAGTGGAAATGATGCAAAAGTAGGCAGGTCCCTTCCATAGGTAGCAAGCTGCTGTGTCCCCTCACCTTATCTAATGAAATCACACTCTGTATAGTGAAAATCAGAGCAGGGTTGAGAGAGGACCTGGAACTGCTGGTCTCAGGTGCTAGCTTCAAAAATAGTAACTTTTGAACTTTTGCTTCTGTTTCTTGACCTCTCATTCCCCTTTATCAACCTCCTTTTCCTCTGATGCTTCATTGAAAACAATACTTTCTCAGTCATTAATAGCTAAGATGTGAAATGAATGAAGTGGGATTCATCTTTAGTCAAGGAATCAAGAGATGTTTCGGCAAGGAATTAGTGATTGCTCTGGGAAAGAAACTTGGATTCTTCAGAGCACAGTGAAACGCTGATGGGAGTAATAAAAAGGAAGAGGCCCAGTGTCCGGAAGAATGAGAAATTGAGAAGGTCGTGTCTCTGCATTTCCAGCAAGGGCAGCGCTGAAAGAAACAAATGGGAAGTGCGTGCACGCCTAAGTCCAGGGAAAGATGTTGCAAACCAACCCAAGAGCTGATCTGGTTGAGAAATGGAGAAATAACTATGTGGTTATGAGTCAGTGACGGATGTTTTTCTGTTATGGATGAAACAACTCCAGTACTGCCAAAATCATATTTTAAAAATTACATAATGTGAAAAATTGTAAATCTCAAGTCACTCTTGTCTCATTGCTCTGAATTTTTAGTTGATGCACTTCAGAAGAAAAGTGTCCTTTTTTCAGAAATAAGGCTAAATGAGGAAAGTCTTAATGCTAGTTTTAATTCTAGTAAATCTAGTCTAATTTTACTAGGCCTCTTCTTATTCCCTTAGCCAGGTGATGCAGCTTGCTTTACATGCGTGCTGTGCTCCTGGTTGTTATTGTCATCTGTGCCATCATATTTTAATATTAGTAACACGCATTTGTAGGACCAAATAGACCTTGGACAATCAGACAACGCGTTATGTACAAAGTGTTGAGCTGATTGATTTTACTGCTGTCTTTTGGGGGATCATTTGGAGGAAAATGCCGAATGTCTGGTTTTGCTCACTTCATTCCCAGTCTTATGGACACTGCTCTCCTCCCGAGAAGGCAGATATTTGCTAATCAGATGTTCTTCTGTTGCTTCTGGAGTTCTGATGCTGCACTGTTGGAAGGCAACATTGTGCTCAAGGATGACTTTAAAGAAAATAAACAGAAGCCAGCAACCCTGTATTTTCAAAATTAATTATAAATACAGTACCAAAATATTTTCCCATGCAGTCTTGCTGTTTCAGCATAATTGTACTCTGTACATGACACACAAGCAGCAAAAGCCTGAGATTTTGTTTCTGCAAGACTGCTGCTAATTACTAATGTCAGCAGTAGTACTAATGTTGCTTCAGCCAGAACCTTCTCCATTCCACTTACACCCTCTGTGCATCACCTCCTACCTCAAGCTCTTAGTAGGTTCAGATGTATTCCAGCTGCCTTGCCTAAAGTACTGATAATTGACCTAAAATCAAAATGGTTTTTGTTTTTGGGCATGAGGGCAGAGACTTAATGTGAGTGACTATAACTCTTGCCAGAGGTAGCTTTGGAACATGTTACTATAGAGATCTAAATAGTGCCCAATGCAGTTAGATGTGTTATGACTGTGTTTTGTATATTATTGTGTGTAAAATATTGGGTAGATGTTGTAGCAGAAATGGATTGACACTAGATACAGCAGTAACTTTTAGTCACTGATGTGGTTTTTTTTTTTCTGGAAATGTGACCTTTTATGTATTTTCTTGTATTGATTGCTCTTCTTTTCAGGAATGGCTATTTAATAGGAAGTAATAAAAGACTCTAGAATACAACTATGTCTCAATTCTGCAGTTAGCCTGTATCTAATGGACTGCTATTGAAACAGAAAAAGTATTTGGTGTATTTAATAGTTAAAATTTGTCAGTTAAATAGTTAAAATTTATCTGGCAAAGTATGAATGTTCTGAAGTATTTCAAAGCATTAATCTTCTGTTTAGGATCATATATTGGGGGTTGTTTTTAGAGAAGAAGGAACAAAATTCATCCAGCATGGTTGTCTATTCTCAGTATAATGTACTGTTACTGTCATTTTTCTAGGGGTCACCTCTGTTCGATCGTATCAAGCAGTCAAAAGAACGAGAAGGCCAAACTGATCAGCCTGAGCCCACTTCCACTCTCAATCTGCCTCTCCAACATAATCACACTGCAGCAGATCTGTAAGTGACATGCGTGCTTGAGGTCTAGTAAAATGTGACGTTAATATTGCTCTTAATATTTAAATCCACTTGTATCCTGTTTTCCTACTTGTTAGGCTTGGTACTTAGGTTATGTTGAACTGTTATGCTGCTTATTAGACATGTAAATTTAGCGAAATCAAATTCTGAAATATTTTTTTCTAAGCCCTGTCAAACTTGTAATTGCAAACTGTTTTCTTACTTGTCTAGGAATAAGTAAGTCCCTTTATCAGGTATTTAATCAATAACTTGAATTTTTAATTTCTGATATGGGAATAACAGGTTACAGTAGCAATTAATTTCTTCTAATGGGGGAAGAGTGAAGAGTTCCTGCAAGTATTATTCATATAAAATTGTTCCTTTATCCTGTGATACTGAAGTGCTTAATATATGTTGAATCTCCAGCTATCTTTCTCCTGTGAGATCTCCTAAGAAGAAAGCATCTGGACCTCCTCCAAGTGCTGCTTCCACTCCAGATGCTCAGCCAGCTGTGACCCCCCAAACACAGAAACTACAGAAATCTACCTCCCTCTCTCTGTTCTACAAAAAAGGTTCGTTGCTTCTGTACGTGCTGAAATTGCAGTTATCTCTTGTTATTTGTCCTTTTCGGGTTTTGAAGCTCAACGTTTCTTAATTAAAACATTATAATAGCACCTGTAGTAAACACCACTGCTGCTGTTGGATGAAATAGTAAAACAATGCCAGCAGGTTAATGCATGCGCTCTACACACTGCAAGTTCGAACTGAAAACTTATCTACTGATTGTAAGAATGGCTATATGGGCTCAGATGGAGGGTTCTTCTATCATAGTATCCTTTTTCCAGCAGTGACCATACACACAGATGTCACGGGAAGTTAAAGAACTGGGCAAGCATATACGGTGCTTCCCCTGAATGCTTTCCCAAGCTTTGACTGTTTCCAGTTCGGCAGTTTTCCTGAGCCTTTTGCGATGTGTCCGCTTAGTAACTCTCAGTAGATTTGTGTTCCAAGTGCTTGTTCAGACTCTTTTTGAATCAACGCCGACATATATGTGCAGCACTGTTTGGTGTGGACTTCCGTGTGTCCACTACCTGTTGTATGAAGAATCTTTTCCATTTATTTTGAACCTGGCTTCTACTACCTTCATTTGATGGCTCATAGTTCTTGTAGTGGGAGATGGTGAACGTTCAATTGCTGTCCATCCTTCATGCTTCTTTTATTTTGTATACCCCTATTATTACCATTTCAGTTTATTTTTCTTCTCTCTTTTTTAAGTTTATCTACTGGCCTATCTTCGACTACATACCTTGTTCTTTCGGCTTCTCTCTGAACATCCTGACCTGGAACCCTTGATCTGGACCCTCTTCCAGCACACACTGCAAAATGAGTATGAACTTATGAGAGACAGGCACTTGGACCAGGTAATGTTAACAAAAAAGTTTTAAAAAGTTTTAAAAGACTCTCCTGAACAAAATGTTCCTTATACATCCTTTAGCCATTAGAAATTGTAATCTGAGTTTTTATTTCTCTATTGATCACTCAAAGGAGAAATTAATTTAGAGTGAAGTCTATCATCTCAGTTTAAGTACTGGCAGTTACTTACTCTGGGATCTTCAAATATCATCTACAGCTATTTTCAAAATAATGAAGACACCAAATTTTCTAATAATTTGCCTAAGAAAATACTGATTTTCTTTGGGAAGACAACATGTGTGGCTGATAAATGTTTTGTTATTCTACCCTAAAATTGCAGCATGTGAAATGAGTTTGAAAAGATAATATCGGATCCAATTAGTTGATTGTCATACAGAAATGGAGGGAACAGTAGTTGACTTATATTCTGGAAGTTCTTATGAAGTTGAGTTGCATACTAGTTTACAGAGCACAATCAGTAATAGAAAGCTCATCAATTGATTTCTTAACTTGAAATGAAGAAGCTGAATTCATTTTCTGCATTTCTAATTGTCTTGTCTTGTTCCTTTAATAGATCATGATGTGTTCCATGTATGGCATATGCAAAGTAAAGAATGTAGATCTTAGATTTAAAACAATAGTTTCAGCATACAAGGAGCTTTCCAACACAAATCAAGAGGTATGGAAATTCTTTAGTGTTATCCCTCTATAAAAACATTAATTGTTTCTCTCTGTTTGTCTAAAACAAACAAAAAAACCCCTACACTTGAACATGAAAAAGAAAACTTCTGCTTCACTACATCTCCGTTTTATGGAGGAGAGAACTGGCTCTAGTACTAAATGTCTCTTTAAACATCTTGCACAGATAGTTTGGTAACTCTCCTCAGAAAGCAAACTTCATTCCACTTTTTTACTTCAGGTCTAGTGCTAATAGGATTTTCAAAGACAACCCAAGTTGTTTTAAGAGTTACCTAACTTAGCATTAAGGGGAGATAAGCAGATAACTTTCTGTAGAAGCTTTCAATAGAAATAAGATATCAAATAGATATGTATGGTTATATATCAAACAGGTATGTATGTATTAAGGTTGCAGGCTAAATTCTGACACTAAGAAGTTCCTTTCTTTATAAGGGCCTTACTGTACTTAAATCTTTGCACAAAATGATAATTAAATCAATAGAAAATCAAACAAACGTTAATTGAAGTGTAGGCATCCTTATAGCAGCAGAATTTCTCACAGTGTATTTGTGCATCTTGGCTAAATTCCAGACTTTTGTCTCCAGGCCTAAAGAACTGTTTTTTCCACATCAGGTCGATAATGATTTTTTTTAGCCTTGCCAGGTGTGCACAGTAGTGAAGCCTTTTTTTGACAATTGTATGCGTGCAAGTAACTGGAGCTTAAATTTGGAAAAAATTGTTAAAGTACTGATGAACTGCGTTCGCATTAAGGGGCTGTGGCAGTTAAGTAAGTAGGTGCCTCTACTGATGTTCATACATATTTGGAAAAAGGAAACAATGTAAACCAGTTCTAAATAGTAGTTACAATGGCTTGCATACGATACACATGCCATCTTAGCTTGTATCTAACACAGATTTTTTGAATGGTTTTATGAGTTTGTCAAATGTAAAATTGTCATCTTTTTTTTTACTGTGTATGATTTTCTCACCCTATGTAGACTTTCAAACGTGTTCTTATCAGGGAAGAACAGTATGACTCCATTATAGTCTTCTACAACTTAGTGTTTATGCAGAAGCTGAAAACGAACATTTTGCAGTATGCCTCCAACAGGGTAAGCGGCTAGTTGTGTTAAGTATTAATTATTTAATAGAATAGGAACAGGTAGACAATAAAACCTTATGATTATTTTATTATCTTTATAGCCTCCCACTCTGTCACCTATCCCACACATTCCTCGCAGCCCTTACCAGTTTTCCAACTCTCCTCGGCGTGTCCCTGCTGGCAATAACATCTACATCTCACCCTTGAAGAGCCCATACAAATTCTCTGACGGGTTTCAGTCACCCACAAAGATGACTCCAAGGTCTAGGTAGGTTGTTGACAAGCATTTCTTTGACTAAATTAAAGGTATTTTGGGGATTTTAGTGGAGGCAAATTAGAAAACCGCACAGTCTAGTTTGTCAATACTCTGTGGTTGTTATCTCTTTTCTGGTTAAAAGTTTGTGTCCTGTATTTGGAATCTTTATCTTTGAGCACTTTTCTGTTTCAGTTGAGTCAGTGTGCTCAAGGAGTTTGGTTTTTTTTTTTCCTTTTTTTTAGAATAGTCACATCCAAGAGGGGTTTTCTGAGCTAGTTGCTTAAATGTTGTTGGCTTTGACTCTGGATCACACTCCTGAAAAATATAGATGAGCTTTGTACACTTGTTTAAAGAGAAGATACTTTTTTGGAACAAAATGGTTCAGAGTATTTAGTTGACTGAGCAGAACATTTTGAACTGTTGGTCACTAGTTCTTAGCAGACGAGGATGACAGCAAATACGCAAGTCTCCAGTGGGTTTTTCAAACTAGGATCAAGTGAGTCCCATTGCACCTGGCCCACTGTGTACAAATGTTAAAATATTATTGTATATTTTAGGTTGAAGTCCTGCATGATTTTGATTAGCAAATACTACAGGTAATGATGAAAGGATGATTATCTGGGGTCACTAGTTCTTAGCAGACGAGGATGACAGCAAATACGCAAGTCTCCAGTGGGTTTTTCAAACTAGGATCAAGTGAGTCCCATTGCACCTGGCCCACTGTGTACAAATGTTAAAATATTATTGTATATTTTAGGTTGAAGTCCTGCATGATTTTGATTAGCAAATACTACAGGTAATGATGAAAGGATGATTATCTGG